TGTTTCCATTTGAGGTATCGTTCTTTTTTCGTATGGAGTAGCAGCTGTGAGGTTTTCTGGAATGTGTATAAGAAAAGACAGTCAAACGCTTGGTACTTCGCAACATTCGAAAACGGTGGTCTGTTCGGTTATGCATAAAAATCGGGTTAATATCTCCGGTACTGAGATGATCAACCCTCGCTTAGAAACTTCGAACGTAGGATTCGAGAAAAACGGTTGCATATTTGTACTTGGAACTTGTTCCATACACCCGCCATCGATCTTCATGGACAAGCACAGTACTTGGCCTAAGGGGGCTACTGCTGATGACTGAACTGTTGGCAATACAGATCAAAGTGCTTGGCGTAGATTAAAAATGAATTTCCGAAGTTATCACCGTCAATCATCGCTGAATGATTATAGTAGTGGGTCAGAATTTTAACAGATACCAGAGATCAGGTGACCACTTTATTCACAAGAAGAAATTCGCCCATCGCAGGGTTGTTGAACTCTCTTATTACATGCACTCTCGTGAGAACAGCGCAATTCTAGGCAACGTTTTATATATGCATATAACAGTGCCAGTAGTTATAGGTCAGCAGGGTACCACGAAATAAAAAAGAGTAGAAATCTGGGTTACACCTCGTGGTGATTACTAAACGGGATGACCAGCTATCAGATGGGCAAAAGAAAATTACAGCCATAGGATGCTCTCGCATCAGATGCCAGATCAGAATACCGTGCTGCCCATATTATTCCAAGTCACTAACTCACTATTCTGGTTGCGCTGAGGCAACGTGGAAAACATTCTTGTTCAAGGGAGTCCGTGGTAAACAAAGATTTTCTCTTCAGTTGATTCTAACCGACACCTTCGGAGTTCAAAGCCGACCTCTTAGACACTGCGCACGACGGCAGAGTCAAAAATGTCCAAAATTTTGGAACATGATCCGAGATGGTGCTGTCGAGCAATATTTACTTATAGAGTTTATGCTCTGGATGTGGACAGCGCATGCAACTTTGTCCATGTTTTGCCTCATCTTCATCACTTTGCCCCATTACAGCAAAGAGGGCACATCCTGACTTGAAACGTCGACAGAAAGGAAAATCCTCTGGCTACAGACTAGGACTGATGATTCAAGGCCCAGGCGTAGAAGAGTATCTGCGAACCTTGATGGAATGATTAAGGAGCGAAAGAAAGACACTTTTCATACAAACATGCATGAAAAGCTTCGAACCACAGTTTGCATCAACGAAGGTACAGTCAAGTTTCTGAATGGAGAACGACGATTCTTACTAGATTAGCCCTGATGTCTGAGAATGGAGATATGATAATATCTTTTGTACTATCTTAAGAGCCAACACTTGGAAAAGCCGGTAGTAAATTTGCTACTGCTTGTACCTCATGTCCTCATCACATTGAGCATAAGAGGGCATTTACCTTTGTTATAGCCAAATCGCAATAATCCATGATTGATGTTTCCTTAGGGCATGTGGCTTCTGAACAGATAAGAAAACAATGA